ATATATATAACTATATATAAAACACGCAGCTTGAAAATTCTCATAAATTTTCATAATTCATAATTTTGGTACGAGGATGAGATGATTAGTTTTTAAAAACTATCAATTGTTTTTGGATTTTTTTTCCTATAATTAGAATCAATTTATGACACTAATTCAACGGACTCAACCAATAATTAATAGGGATTTATAGCTACGGGTGGCCCAATAACGTAAACTAATTAAAACTGGTCCAATTCTTTTAGTTCAGAATTTTTATCTTTTTTTTTTATAATATGAGACAAACTCAAACCAACCTATTAAGGTTGGTCATGAATGAGTTAAGTAATTAAAATATTTTGATTAAAAAAAATGGTCGGATTCAGTATGCCCAACCCAAACTAACTCTTTCACGATTATGTTGGTATTAAAAAAAAGGTTAAAATTCTATTTTGGTCCCCTATAATAATTGTTTGTTTCAATTTAATCTCATTTTTATTTTTGGTTTCAATTTGGTCCCAAACTAATTAATTGATTTCAATTTAGTCCCAAATTAATTAATTGGTTTCAATGTGGGACTTCCGTCCAAATTATTTAAACGGAGTTAACTTTTGGCCACATGGATGCCACGTAGATGCATATGTGGATGCCACGTGGATGCCAATTTTTTTGAAAACATTTGGACCCAGAACGGGCCGTTCTGGTTGCACTTTTGGTGTGTTAATTTTGCAACTGAAACGGGCCGTTCCAGATGCAAAAATTAACACACCACCAGTGTAGCAGAACGGGACGTTCTGAAACCAGAACGGGCCGTTCTGGTTTCAGAACGGCCCGTTCCAAAATTAAGAATATAATATTCTTGACTTAATTGTGTTTTTGATCGCTCAAGTATTATAATTATGCAATTTTGATTTCACAATTTTTAATTGAACAAGTTTAATCTCTCACAATTTTAAAAGATTACAGTTGTGTAATTTTAGTCTCACAATTTTTAATTGAACAATTTTAATCTCTCAAATATTATAATTGTGCAATTTTAGTATTTCTCATTAAAAATTTAATAATTTTAAAATTTTAATATATATATATATAATGTTTTAAAACTATATAATTGTTTGCTTATTTAAATTAACGTATATTATAATTTTTTTTAATGTATCAAATGATATATATTTATTATTACT